TTCCAAGGCGGGTTAGGTGCCGAGTGCAGAGGGGATTTCCAAGGCGGAGCTAGATGATGGGCATGTTCTGATAATGTAATTTTCAAGCGGGGAGGGAGATGGGCGTGTTTGAACTCCCGGCGAGGCAACCAGCCTTACTATCTAGCCTGAGTCCCCAAGGAGATGACTGTGTGACAGTGGGACGGCTGCAGTCTCCTGTTCTGAGTGGGATTTTCAGCGGTGTGCGGGAGCGGGCTGGCATCGGCTCTCAGGCACTAACCATGCATGGTCTTCCCAACTCTGCCTTCAGTGACGTCACAGCGCTAGCTTAAAACCAGCCGTGGGAGAGTATTCACACCACTGACAGACGCAAGCGCACATATCAGAGATATGTTTGTTTGCTTTGAGACCCAGTTTACCAGCACACCACTGGGAATTTTCCATCTCCAAATTAGCCACTTTCCGATGTGGTTTTTAAACGTCTGTATCAGATTAACACGATTCCCTGCCCGCTTGCTCTTAACGGACCACCCTCACTAATGCAGAAGGACCTGGAAACTGGAACATGGAAACCTGCCTGTCATGAAGGCCCGTGGTAGACAGAGAGGTCTGGTGTGAGCAGCGGAGGATATTAAACAACAAATCTAAGCCATATGCCTAAAGGTGCCAAAGACCTTGAACGGCCCAGCAGAGAAAAACATGAACTTCGACTCTGGCATGTAACGCTATTTTAGGAATGATGAAAAACAAGCTCATCGGATGTGGCTCCTGCCGTCTTAATAGGGTGAGGACAGGCAGCCTCTTCATCTTCTCATTGTTTTTTTGTAACTCTACTCCTTGACTTTCCCAGTTCCTCTCAAACTGGGAAAGACAGAACTCCATATAATTGCACTTCTAATCTCAGAAGCTTTGTTTTTTAATTATAATTGTTATTTTATAAAAGCTGGATATAGTCTTTCATTTAACAATCTTTTTCAACAGTCATTTGCTGTTGGGCCCTCCAATGTGCCAGGCATCACGCTAGACACTGGAACACAGAAACAAATAAAACTTATTTCCTGCTCTCAAGAAGCAGAGACAAGCCCAGGCATGGTGGCTCACGCCTGTAATCCCAGCACTTTGGGAGGCTGAGGCAGGTGAATCACTTGACGTCAGGAGTTCAAGACCAGCCTGGCCAACATGGTGAAACCTTGTCTCTACTAAAAATATAAAAATTAGCCAGGTGTGGTCGTGGGCACCTGAAATCCCAGCTACTCGGGAGGCTGAGGCAGGAGAATCACTTGAACCTGGGAAGCAGAGGTTGCAGTGAACTGAGATCACATCACTGTGCTCCACACTGGGCAACAAGAGGAAAACACTATCTCAAAAAAATAAAAAGAAGCAGCAGCAGAGACAGACCAGTAGGGACTCCAATGCGTGCGTCAGGGTGGAAGTTCCAAGCAGTCTAGGTCAACAGGCGGTTCAGTGTGAACGTCAGGAATTTGGTGGATGGGGTTGTAGTAAAAGACGCAGCCAAGAGAAGCCAGAGTTTGGAGATCCTTAAACACAGCAATAAAAAGTTAGAAATGGAGATGAGTCCATGGGAGTCCACTGGAGAGAGGGCAGTGTGAGCCCCGGCAGTCGTCTGCACAGTGGCGCAGGGAGGATTCAAGAGCTGGCAGCGGTGAGGAGGAAGCTGTGGACTGACTGCAAGAGGGACCTAGGGGACTCCCAGAAACCCAGCTCAGCTAAACACGGGGGGTCAGTTATGACGCTGGGAAGAAAACCGGTTACATTCAAGCCCTTGTCGGGGGAAGGGCAGACCCACCCTTTTCTCCGGTTCCACTATTATGGCATGTTTATCTTCTTCTGACACGAGAACACACGTGGCAAAGGATGACTTCAACATGTTCATGACCAGGTCGTTGGAGAGGACATCCAGCTTCTTCACTTGATCACCCGTCACGTTGGTAGAACCAGCAATGCCATAGCTACCGGGGACAAAAGCCACAAAAAATAAGCCATGACCACCGGAACACGTAGATCTGCCCATGAACCCACCAAACGTGAGTGTTTGTTAAGATGTGGAAGAAAGTGTTCGTGTCCTTTGCAGGAACATGGATGAAGCTGGAAACCATCATTCTCAGCAAACTAACACAGGACAGAAAACCAAGCACCATACGTTCTCACTCATGAGTGGGAGTTGAACGATGAGAACACATGGACACAGGGAGGGGAACATCATACACTGGGGCCCGTCGGGAGGTGGGGGCTCGGGGAGGGAGAGCATTAGGACAAATACCTAATGTAGATGATGGGTGCAGCAAACCACCATGGCACGTGTATACCTATGTAACAAACCTGAACGTTCTGCACATGATTGAACTTAAAGTATTTTTTAAAAAGATTAGAAGAAAGGAAGGAGGACACATGGCTTGGGAGAGCAAGGCAGGAAGGGCAGTGGTCCCTCTGGACAGACCCTCGAGAGGAGGAGATGCTATCATCTGCCTCTTTAGCAAGGCAGGAAGGGCAGTGGTCCCTCTGGACAGACCCTCGAGAGGAGGAGATGCTGTCATCTGCCTCTTTAGCAAGGCAGGAAGGGCAGTGGTCCCTCTGGACAGACCCTCGAGAGGAGGAGATGCTGTCATCTGCCTCTTTACCTCGGACCTGTCATGGTGCCTGCACACCTTTGTGGTTAAATCAGTGTTTCTTAACTTTGTTTTCATTATGTTTCCCTTAGGAAGCTTTTTAGAACATTTTTTCCTCACCATACGCCCCCAAGAAGTTTTTAAAATCTGTTTACTGAAGTATGTATATTAGTGCTCTCTACATAAAAAGTTTGAGGGTGTTTTTGGTTTTGCCCACAAAGAACCAATGTTGGCCCCCAAAATGCAGGGGTTAAATGGATCAGTTAACAGACTCAGCAACCGAGGAAGTCTGGGTTGGGAGAACCCGAGCTATGAGCCAAGCCAAGGACTTTTATGGCTTTATAACTAAAAAGACCCCAAAAGAAACAAAGCATCAACTGTCCCCACCACCTTAGTTTATAGAGGAGAAAACTCAGACCCCAAGACTCCTGTGGGCCTCCTCACAAAGGCAGGGTGGAGGGGAGACGCCGCCTCTGACTCCCAGGCCAGGGCTCTCTTGGCGACACTCTGGGCCCCTGGCAGGAGTCCAAGGGCATGGAAGTTGCGGGGATCCTGCAGTTTTCACTTTTTCTTTTTTTTTGAGATGAAGTCTCGCTCTGTCGCCAAGGCTGGAGTGCAATGGCGAGATCTCAGCTCACTGCAACCTCCGCCTCCCAAGTTCAAGCAGTTCTCCTGCCTCAGCCTCCTGAGTAGCTGGGATCACAGAAGCGCGCCATCATGCCTGGCTAATTTTTGTATTTTCAGTAGAGACAGGGTTTGACCATGTTGGCCAGGCTGGTCTTGAACTCCTGACCTCATGGTCCACCTGCCTCAGCCTCCCAAAGTGCTGGGAATACAGGCGTGAGCCACCACACCCGGGCCAGTTTTCACTATTTTTAGGCTACCTGCAACTCAGTAATTGTAGAACTCCCAGAATCCAAGTGGCTTGTCCAAACGCAGCCTAGCTTGTCCGACTTAGAGAAGCGGCATAGCCTGGGGTTGCCCTGAACACAGAAAAGAGACGTCTCACAGGAAGGGGGCTTGCACAGAGCAAGGCAAGAAGAGCCCAGATGTGGGAAGGGAAAAAGATGGGACTTTGAAGACACCAGCAAGCGGCTGAAAGTGGGTGGTAAGGACACTCACCTGGGAGCTGATGGTCCCTGCGTCAGTGGCTGTGACTGCTTCCTCTCCTGCATTTTCCCAAAACATAACTTGCTGTGTCTGGCTGGGCAAAACTGAGCCGCCCCTACAAACCATCCAAACCGGCCGAGCTGGTCCAGACCCACGTGAGTCTCGGGAGCTAGCTCCAGCTGTCTCCTCGGGCCCACCCGCCAGCGCGTTGCCACCACTCCTGGCACCATTCCCTCTCCAGCCTGCACACCACGCATCGCCCCACCAGCCCTCCCCCTGCCGCTTCTCTTTTCCGCCATCACTCCTGTTTCATGAGTGAAGACCAACACGAGACACCAGCTTGGAACTGGACCCTGTGTCTCTGGGCTTTCGATTCTATTTCCACATGCTCTTTTTCTGACCCCAATGGTAAGGCCAGGGCCCATGGAGGAAGAAGGCAGTCAAAACCCAGGAGGCCAGAGGGACTTGGCAGGGCCCACCAGCCAAATGCAGCTCCCTCAAGGGCCCCAGTAGCAGCAGTGCTCTCTCCTTTCCAGTCCGAGCGTTCCACTGTCAAAGTCACGCTTTATTATTTTTTTAATTTTATTTATTATTATTATTTTTTTTTTTGGAGACAAGAGTGTTACTCTGTCGCCCAGGCTTGTGTGCAGTTGGGTGATCTCGGCTCACTGCAACCTCCACCTCCCAGGTTCAAGCGATTCTCCTGCCTCAGCCTCCTGAGTAGCAGCTGATTTTTTGTATTTTTAGTACAAACAGGGTTTTGCCATGTTGGTCAGCCTGGTCTTGAATACTTGACCACAAGTGATCTGCCCACCTCAGCCTTCCAAAGTGCTGGGATTACAGGCATGAGCCACCATGTCGAAGTCACTTCTGATTCCAGGGGACAAACAGCACCAATGGACGAGAAGGAGGGCTTCAAGGCAGAGGCCAGGGCTGAGCCTCAGCTCCCAGGCCCACCCCCCCGCCTTCTCTGAGCCTCCCTCCCTTTCGCATGTGTCCAAAGAGGGAAGTGAGGTCCGTCCCCATGTCATCGCATGAGATGACAAACAGAAAAGGCTTAGCACTAATGGGCGCAACCCGACGGAGACAGCTCAGGGACTAGGGTGGGGGCTGGGCAGAGGGGCCGAAGGAACTGGACACGGATGAGAGACTGAGGCAGGTATGGAAGGAAAAGCCTCTATCACACTTTGGCCCGAGTCCCATCTGCTCAGGCTCTTTCCTCAGGAACACTCAGGCCATGGTCTCTTTTACTCAGAAGCTTCCTAGACAGCTCTCTGAGTGCTCATTTATTCCACAGACATTCTCTGGGGACCTGCTGTGCACGGGGAGCTGTTCCAGGTGCTGGGGCTACAGTGCGGAACCCAGTAGATAAGTCCCCACCCTCATACAGCGTATATTCTATTGGGGTGAGACAAACAAGAAACGCATAATGAAATGTTTTGGAATGAAAAAGGTATGTCAGATGGTGGCAGGTGCTCACTATCATAAAACACAAACAAAATGACGGGGGAGGGAGACGAGAGGAGAGATGGTTAATTTAGACGGTCAGGAAGACTTCCCTGCAAAGGGAGCATTCAAGCTGAATGGTATTTTGAATGTTTTTCATAAGAATGGGAGAAAATGGGCCGGTACAGTGGCTCATGCCTGTAATCCCAGCACTTTGGGAGGTTGAGGCGGGTGGATCACCTGAGGTCAGGAGTTCGAGACCAGCCTGACCAACATGGTGAAACCCGTCTCTACTAAATATATAAAAATTAGCCGGTGATGCTTGTGCATGCCTGTAATCCCAGCTACTTGGGAAGCTGAGGCAGAAGAATCCCTTGAACCCGGGAAGCAGAGGTAGCAGTGAGCCAAGATCCCGCCACTGCACTCCAGCTGGGCAACAACAACAAAAACTCTGTCTCAAAAAAAAAAAAAAGGAAGGAAATGAAAAAGCCCTAAAGGAGCCCAAATAAGTCAGCTAGTAATGACCCCAGAGAAGAGCTGTATGTTAGCAATTTAGCCAAAGGAAACAGTAAGTTCATTTTTCCCATATTTCCAAATGGAGGGGAGTGGGTGCTATGTGCACATTTATACCAGTAATTTTGTAAAGCCTGAGGTCTTTTTCCTGTGATGCCTGGATCCAGGAAGCATCTAAATCCAGAAAGAGGAGACCCAGGGGGAGAAAGTCCTTGTAAGGCTGGCTCTGATTTGTGGTACACCTGAGCTAGCCCTGCCAGCCGGGGAGAGACAAGGTATCCCGTAACTGTGTCCCAAACACAGGGGCACCATGACTTGTTTCATGAGATCAAATGGAAGTAGGCTATTTCCTGATGCTCTGGACTACATTTTCTGAGCTTGCAGACTCAGCAGTCGGCCAGATTAAAGTGAGGAGCAATTTCTGTTGCCCTAGATCATGTCCTGGCCTACGAGAGGTTACAGTCGGTGTCCAGGGGTAGACTTGGCAAACCAGGACCACCAACCAGGCCTCCCCACTGCCACTCCAAGAGTCTCAGATGGCTCCTACCCTTGGCACACCAAGGAACCAACACGGAGAAGCTGAGGGCCACAGAAGTGGTACACCCTGTTCCCAATGGGAGACTTGTGGGGCCACAGAGCACTCTGCAAGGATGCATGGCACAGGGCCCTCCCCACCTGCACGGACGGGGCCGCCTGCATCCGCCAAGCCACGCGGAGGCCCTCACTGCCTGCATGAACAGGGTGATCTGCGTCCACCAGACCACACAGGGCCCTCCGCACCTGCACAGACGGGGCCGCCTGCATCCGCCAAGCCACGCGGGGCCCTCACTGCCTACACGGGCAGGGTGATTTGCGTCCACCAGACCACACAGGGCCCTCTGCACCTGCACGGACGGGGCCGCCTGCATCTGCCAAGCCACGCAGGGCCCTCACTGCCTGCACGGGCAGGGTGATTTGCGTCCACCAGACCACACGGGGCCCTCCGCACCTGCACGGACGGGGCCGCCTGCGTCCACCAAACCGACAGGCATTGGGCTCTGCCTGCTTCAGGTTTCCATGACACCACTGGGTGGTGACAGATGTGTTAAGCTGGTTCCTGCCGCTTTCTTGGGAACGCCTCTTCTCTTTACCCCCCCGAAGGGTCCCTCCCCTCTTCTAGCAGGAAGGACCCTTCTCCAGCTATCCTCCAGTTGTCCTTGAAGCATAAAAGACACATGAAGACAGATGACGGTGGGCCCCTCCAGCTCAATGTCATGTACTTTGCAACTTTGCTA